TTTATCTCTCCTCCTTTTGTTAAACATTTACAACCTTGCAATCTGCAGGCAACATTGCAGAATTAATAGAATTTGGAAAGATGATCACCAGTGCATCCACTATGTATGTCTGTTGCAACTTTTAACAGTTTCAGGTAAAGATCATTGGTACTAGGGATTTTCAGCTTTCAATTTCATTAATTTATCCAGTACTTTTTTTACCTAACATAATTTCTTTCAGTTCCAGTCTCACTAGATCCTTGGGTTTTAACTATTTCAGGGAAACTTGTTGTGTCTTCCTTATTAAAATAAATTACTTAGCTTTGTGCTATTTCTCTATTTCCCATTATAAATTCTTCTGTGTCTGCCTGGAATGGAATCACATTTGTCTTTGCTAACATCTTACTTTTTACATACCTATAGAAGGACTTATTGTAAGTCACATGTCACACGTTTAAGTTTTAGCTGTCAAGAGTTTGGCAATTTGATACTGTTTTGGAGTTCAGTCAGAGAGTAGTTTGTAACTTGGCGGAGTGTAGCTGGAAGAAGGACAACCAGCTCAGCATTTGCCACTTTTTGAGAAATCCTTTCAAGGAGCCTGCATGAGAGCTGAATAGCCAAAATAGCAAAACACGAAAGGCTTCTCCAAGTTTCCATCTCAACATCCTGAATGAACTGCATCTGAAGAGGTCTCAGTAGGATAACACTGCTTGTGTCTTGTGACCCATCAACTGGTTTAGTGACACTGGACTGAAAGTAATCTGGGATATTCTTTTCATTTCTGTTAAGAAGATTCATCCTTTTTATTCTCTGAGAATTAAGAAAACACTTTGGTGAAACTATTTGATAACAAAACTTAATCACTGCAAGAAAGTTTCATTTTGTTTTAAACTTGTGTTTTTGGAGGTGGGAGGTTATTTAGATGAGTATATAGATAATGTTTAAATGTTCATATTTCAATCTCTGTGTCAGTTTTGCTTATTTGTTGAATAACTTATTTTATTATGATAAATCATCATTTTGTGTATTAAAGAAATTGGTTTGACTGAACTTCTTAAACTGAACATACTATGGATAAATTATATGATTTACCATGTTAGTAATTAAGTAAAACATTTATATTTATATTGTGACAAGTGGAGTGGTTAGACTAGAAAGGTAGTGCACAATTCCAACCTTGTTCATAACATTGCCAGCTAATATAAAAGGCTTTTAACAGTAAGAAGAAGGCAGTAAAAGGAGGATTGAGCCCTTTTAAGGATCAAAATGTAGATTCACACAAGGAGGCAGAGACCATGCCTGAGGTATTAAATGAATACTTTAATCTGTCTTTACAAAGGAAGAAGATTATACCCAGGGCTTGATGAAACTGGAAATTCAGTCATTATAATGGTTTAAAATTTATAGAGGAGGCATTGGCTACACTGTCTGTATCTTTGACCACAGGCGAGGTTCCAGAGGATTGGAGATTAGCCAATGTTGTTCCCATGTTTAAGAAAGGAAGCAGGGATAATCCAGGAAATTATAGGCTGGTAAATCTATCATCTGTGATGGGGAGGCTCTTGGAGAAGATACTGAGGGACAGGATATATGCACATTTGGAAGAAAATGGACTAGTTAGTGACAGGCAGTATGGTTTTGTACAGGGAAGGTCATGTCTCACCAATCTGATTGAATTTTTTGAAGAGGTGACAAAGATAATTGATGGAAGAGCTGTGGATATAGTTTATATGGAATTTAGTAAGGCATTTGATAAAGTCCCACATGGCAGATTAGTACAAAATCTAAAATCACATGAGATTTGGGGTGGGCTGGCTAGTAGGATACAAAACTGGCTCGGTCACAGAAGATGGAAGGTAGCGGTAGAAGGGTCTTTTTCAGAATGAAGATCAGTAACTAGTGGTGTTCCACAGGGATCAGTCTTAGATCCTCTGTTGTTTGCAGTATATATAAATGATCTGGAGGAAATGTGGGTGGCCTGATTAGTAAGTTTCCTGATGACATGAAGATTAGTAGAGTTGCTGATAGTGCCAACGATTGTGAAAGGATATAACAGATATAGATAGATTGGTGACTTGGGCACAGAAATGGCAGATGGAGTCTAACCGGACAAATGTGAGATGATGCATTTTGAAGGATCAAATTTAGGTGTGAATCATACTGTAAATGGCAGAACCCTTAGGAACATTAACATACAGACAGATCTGGGTATGCAGGTCCAAAGTTCCCTAAAACTGGCAACAAAAGTGGCCAAGGTGATTAAGAAGGCATATGGCATGCTTGCCTTCATCCGCTAGGGCATGGAGTACAACAGTTGGAAAAACATGTTGCAGCTATATAAACCTTTGTTAGGCCACATTTGGAGCATTATGTCCAGTTTTGATTGCCACATTACCATAAAGACATGGAAGCTTTGGAGAGAATGCAAGAGAAGGCTTTCCAGGATGTTGCCTGATCTGGAGGACATTGGCTATCAGGAGAGATTAAAAAGACTAGGATTGTTTTCACTGGAAAGATGGCAGCTGAGTAGAGACCTGATAGAGGTCTACAACATTATGAGAGGCTGGATAGCTTGGATAGTCAGAGGCTTTTTTCCCAGGGTTGAAGTTTCAATTACGAGGGGGCACAGGTTCAAGGTGAGAGGGCAAAAGTTTAAGGGAGATGTGAGAGGAAGGTTTTTCATGCAGAGAGTGGTAGGAGCCTGGAATGCACTGCCAGAGGTGATGGTGGAAGCAGGCATGTTGCCGACATTTAAGAGGCATCTGGATGGTAACATGGATAGGGAGGCAATAGAGGGATATAGACCAAATAAGGGCAGAAGGTTTGTCTTTTAGTTTAGTCAGGGCATGATGTTCGGCACAGGCTTGGAGAGCCGAAGGGCCTGTTCCTGGGCCATACTTCTCTTTTATTCTTTTGTTGTTCCAAAGTTAACAAGGGACCAGGAGCAGGTTAAATGTATCCAAAGAAACTGAAGAAGGTGAGAATAAAAATTGCGGAGGCACTGGCCATAATTTTTCAGTCTTTCTTCGGATCAGGAGTGATGTCAGTGACTGAAGAATTGGAAACATCATACCCTTGTTCAAAAAGACTTTATTCATAGAGGCACAGAGCACAAGAGCAAGAAGTTTCTTCTGAACTTGTGTAAGATATTAGTAATCCTTAGCTGGATTATTGCTTCCAGTTCTGGACACCACTCTCCAGCAAGGAAGTGAAGCCATTGGAGACAATGTAGAGGAGGCTTCCGAGATTAGTTCCATGGATGAAGCATTTTAGTTATATACATTGGAGAAGTTGGAACAGTTAAACTGAGATCTGGTAGATGTATTAAAAATTTTCAGAGGTCAGGACAGAATGAAAACAGAGGCAAGTTTTCTACCCTTGAAAGGATTGACCACAAGAGGGCACAAATTCAAAATAATCAGTGAGAAAAAGAAAAGTGATATGAAGAACATTTTTTCACACAATGAGTGGTTAGAGGAATGCATTGCCACACAGCATGGTGCAGGCAGGTTCAATCAGCATACTCAAAAGTGAATTGGATGGTAATCTTGAAAAGAACAATATGCAGGTTTTCAGAGAGAAGGCAAGAGCATTGTTCTAAGTAATATGTTTATTTAGAGAGCTGGTGTCGACACAATAGGCTGAATGACCTCCTTCTGCATTGTAACAGTGCTATGATTTTGTGATTCTGTGATAAGGAATTTGGATAGACACAAGGGAAATTATCTTGCAGGCCATGGCAATAGTAGATTGCTCTACAGAGAACCTGCATGGACTCCATGGGCCAAATAGTTTTCCTCTGTGCCATCATGACTCCATGATTTCATAGGCATCTTTACAAAATTTTCTCATCCTTCTTTCTAAAAAAGTTTAATCTTGCCATCAATTTGCTGACTGTGATTTACTAACTCACAAAGCAGAAAATCATCATGGATCTCATGATGGTTATTGTCCAATGTAACCCTCCACAGTTCAGATTTGTAAATCTGACACTCATGCTCTATAAAATTATTGTTGCAGGATTTTGGACTTTCCAAAATTGACTTTTAATACCCATTTTTTTAAAGAAAGACTGAAAGAATATATTTGAAAATCTTGATCACTTTCTAAAGATACACTGAATTATCATCTTAAGCAAGATCAGAATGCTAAAAACTTAGATTATTGGCACATTTTAAAATCAATCATGTTTACTATTTACTGGTTGAGTAGAGTTTTTCTGAGATAGTAGGTAAGATATGGCATTGAGATGGGCCTCAGTAAGTGACCAGGTCTGAGGAATTGATAGAAAACAATGTTTGCAACTGCAGAAATAGATAACAAAGGTTTGATGAACTGATAAATTATTTAATGTTGGAATTGAAAATAATTCAAACATGGTACTAATATTATGACCAACATCAATAACTAACATTTATTTAGCACCTTTAACAGCACATCATTCCAAAATGCTTTAAATGACACATAAAGAGATGTTAGGGCAGATGATCAAAAGCTTGGTTAAAAAGGACATTTTAAAGAGTGTTTTAAAGGCGACAGAAACGTAGTTAAGGTGAAGAGAACAGGAAGGGAATTGCAGAGGTTAGTTACCTAAACAGCTGAAACAATTAAAATTGAGGATGTGTAGCAGGCTAGGAATCTCAAAAGGTTGTGGGATGAGAGGATTCAACAGCAGGTTTGAAGGAAAACATAAAGACCAGCTCATTCTAAAAGCATTTCAAGGAAACGTGACATTGCAATCGGACAACATAAAAGATAAACCTTATTATCCAAAAACAAAAATTAATTGATTAATTCTTAAGTCTGCTGTTATATGCAGTGGAAAAAAAAGTTGCATAAGGACTAATATTTTCTTCAAGTAAAACTGCCATGCCTGGAAGTCAATTAAATTCTTTAGTGTTAGAAAATAACTACAATATCTTCCTTTGAACTTTGACGTTTTATATTCTAAACAAGAGAAATCCTGCTCTCCCATCATTCCTAGAATAATAATTAGACATGAAAATGAATTCTGTGGGGGTTCAGGTTTGATGCATCAAGGCAAGAGAGCCTCTGAATGTGGTCTTGATTGTGCTTCTCACCTTGCCTCGGAAGGTTTCCGCAGCAAAGTAATATAAAAGGGGGTCCAAACAGGGATTGATTGCCGCTGCACACAGGGTAACCACCACCCCTTTGTGAGAGGAACAGCTGACCCGGGGTGAATTTACCATATTCCTTGTGACAAGATAGACTGTTCGTAGAATGTGATAAGGCAGAAAACTGGTTAGAAATATAATCATTACAATAATAATCATTGCAATCGCTTTTCTGCGGGAGCGCTTTTGCTGGTGGTACTTTGCTTCTGAAGTTAGCAAAGTCTTAACAACAAATATGTAGCACACAATGATAGTTAAGAAGGGAATAATGCACCCTACTACTAGAGAAAAGAAATTCATAATAGATACGTTAGGCGTCAGACTAGTTTCATCATTAATCTGATTGAGTTCAAAGCATTTTTCTGTATTCGAAACATTTTGTTGATTTTTTTTAATCACAAAAGGAAAGGTTGAGACTCCCACAAACACCCATATTACGACACAAATGATTTGCACGGATCTGACACTTCTATACTTTAAAGCTTTCATTGGATGCACTACGGCGAAGTACCGCAATACGCTCATTAGGGTTAGAAAGTAAATGCTGCAGTACATGTTCAGGTACACAGCATAAGTCAGGAACATGCATAAGGAACATGAAAAGTGCCAAATTCTGTCATTCCAATAGTAATGCACCCGCCAGGGCAAAGTGCAGACGAAGAGCAGATCTGATATTGCCAGGTTCACCATGACGATGCTGAATGTTGTGTTCCTCTTGTAGAACTTCAGGAGTATGTATAAACGGAAGACATTTTCAATGAATCCAAAAACAAATACGATGATATAAGTTTGTATGTAAGTGGTAGTTTTGAAGTTCGTAATGTTCCCGCATGAACCATTGTTCGGGTTATTGTTGTCGTTAACCATTCTCTGCTTTGAGAAAATCTGTGTGATCAGACGTTTCTGTAGAAAGAAACCATTAATTATAATAATAGCAAATGGGTGAAAAATTAAGCATTTTTACAAGTTGGCTCCATTTGTTGCCAACTAACTTTCATTATATTCACAGTTACTTGAGTATAGTTAAGGACATCATTTCTTCTTTTCAATGCTGTCTCCGGCGAAGTTTGAAAGAAAGTGTTTGTTATTTTGACAGAGATAGTAGGAACTGCAGATGCTGGAGAATCTGAGATAACAAGGTGTAGAGCTGGATGAACACAGCAGGCCAAGCAGCATCGGAGGAGCAGGA